ATAATTGATCTTCTGACTGTAATTTTTTGTGCGGAGTATATCTAACCCTTCCGTACACTAACTGTTTTAATTAATTTACACTCCATTAATTTTAAGAGATTTTATATCGATAGATTTCTTTCCAAAAATGTTTCAAGGATTACATATTTTTTCTTTAGATTTCAAAACATTTTGGATTTAAAATCTTAATAATAAAATTTTTAAAACAAATATTTCTAGAAATTCCTTCGGCGTATTCATTTATTCCATTTAGTTGAAGTTTCGAAAAATAGAAACATTACTCTCATTCTGTAGAATATCTTCCTTTCAACATTCATATAATTTTTATATGTCAGTTCGCCATTTCTACGGAGCATAGAGCCACACATACGAGTACAAAACTCAGGCATGCTGAAAGCACAGTTTTAACATTTAAGAATGTAAAAAGAAGAATATACCATTATAATAACGCGCATTTGAAATACGAAGGCAAACAAGAAAGCTGGTTGCAACATTTTATATTTTTTCCTGACGAATCAGAAATTGTAATCATTTTTTCAATACAAAAATAAAATATTTGATTCTATAACATATAGGCATAAAGGCGTCCTCCGTTACAATTCTTATTTTTTCTTGTTTCTACTAAAATTCGGCAATGTACTATAACAACGTCGGATCCTGTTTGACTTTCATTTGTATAAAGTACCACAAGGCAAACAGTTGTAAAACGATTTATCTTCTTTCGCAAACTTTTAGTCGGCACACAGATAATACATACCTGCTGTCTGACAAAGATACTTCACTCTAAGGACTTTTTCCTAAAGTGCTCTTTTCAAAGAGACTTCACACCCTATTAAGACCTTTGTGTCAACTGACAGCCGCCTGCAGAAAGGTAGGGGAAGGAAGACCAGATCGCGTCGTCTAAAACACGTCTTAAGCAATCTTCGCGAAATTCGGGCTTCGTGTATACACGTCTTAAGCATTTTTCGTGCGATTTGAAATTCGTGTAAAAGACGTCTTAAGCATTTTTAAAGAAATTCCAAAAACGTTTAAACACGTCTTAAGCAGTTAAAGGGTTAAAAACAAAGATATTTCCGTGTAATAAAAAGGAATGTTACTCCAATGAAGAAACACGACAAATTTTGAAAGGTCTTCTAATATTTGAAGATGAAGAAGGAATTTTACGATTGAAGTCTAGATTGATAAATGAAGAATTGAAAGATTTTATTTCTCCAATAATTCTACCATCGAAACACTGGCAGTGAGAAGATTTATAGCCCAAGAACATATTGCTAACAAGCATGTGGGACATTAACTCACTTACTGTTTACGGCAAAGATTTTGGATAGTGAAAGGGAAAAGAACTTTCCGGAGTGTTATCAAAGAATGCTTAACATGTAAAAAGCAAAAGGTAAAATATCTTGAGGTACCTTTTCCGCCTCTTCCAAAAGACCGAACAGAAGTAGCAGCAGTTTTAAGCATCAGGTGTAGATTATAGCGGACCTCTGGACTAAATCTAAACAAAAGGTGTGGATAGTACTTTTACTTGCGCCGCATTTAGAGCTGTCCATCTTGCTTATACCTCCACTGAGTACCAATGACTTCATCCAAGCTATGCGTAGGTTTATAGCCATAAGAGGACGAATTTCTGCAATGTATTCAGACATTGGTACTAATTTTACAGGACTAAAAAACGTTCTGAAACAGTTAGATTGGACTACAATTGAAAGTGAATTTAGAGTCACGAAATTTGTTGGAAGTTTATCCCACCCTCCTCTCCATGGTGGGGTGGCTTCTGCGAACGCTTGATTGGGATTTTGAAAGATCTTTTAAAAAAAATCTTGGACATTCCTGTTTGTCTTACGAGGAATTGCACTCTTGTCTGTGAATGCGAATCTGTCATGAATAGCAGACCATTAACTTACATATCCGATGAACAAGAGCTGAAGACCTTGACCCCCTCAATGTTTCTTCCGGACATTCCATTAAATGATGTTCCTGACTTGGATCAAATTGAAAAGACTAATATTGTTTTGAGATGAAGACATATTCAAAAGGTTCGTGAAAATCTAAAACGAAGGTTTAAAAGGGAGTATCGGGTTTCCTTCGTTCTTCAGTTAACAAAAGAGATGATAAAATAAATGTAGGTGACAAAGTGTTAATAGGTATAGATGATAAAAAAAGGCTCCATTGGCTGCTAGAGAGAGTGCTGGAACTCTTTCCAGAAAAAGATGGAATCATCAGACTTGTGAAACTGCGAACTGAAAAGGGAATATTAAGACCAATCCAATGACCGTACCCTTTGGAATTGACACCAAACTACAAGCAAGTCGTATCGGAACCTCAGAAGGTCCACGAAGTAGTAACTGAATATCCTGAGCTTAATAATGACTCTAACGAAACTTTTCCTGTGTCTTGCTCAGGTCGAAAAATAAAACCAGATAAAAGACTGGATTTATAAACTTCTAAACAAACTTTTGAACTTTCTATATTTGAACTCTAAAATATTGACTTGTTAGCATTCTAATATTTTGTTTTCAGTTTGCATTCTAATATTTTGAAATATTTCTATTGTTATTTGTACATTACTGTTATCTCAAATTGTACATATGTATTATCATTATGTTACTGTTTTGAGTTTGTATCCCCAAACTCAAGCTGGGGAGAATGTAGCGTCACAATCAAACTCCATGAGAGGTAAGTTTCTCTGTTACAAAATGACAATGAGAGAGAGAGATTGTTGTTCAAAAAGATGGACGACCGAATTCTGTTGTAACGTTTATTTTGTAGATGTTGCGTATTGTAAAATGAACCTATTACACAGCGCTAAATAGTATTAAAATGCTATATATTAAAAGATCTTTCATCTGATCTAAATTTTAACAAACCGCTCATTATTTTCTCTTAAAAACTCACAATGTTCACGACAGTGTACAAAAAACTGGTATGGATGTTGGAAGTTAAGTTTTGTTTTGTTATCATTAATAAGAGAAAAATAGAGTGACAAAATAAGTTAGAAACCTAGCAAAATGTGTATTTTCAACAAGAGTATAAGAGCTCTAATATCGTGACATAAAAACTCAAATGTTTTCAGTGCCAATGCTAATCCATCATTCTAGCGCTAATTAAATGATCCGGAGATCTCCAAAGACCAGTAAAAGACTGAAGATGAGCCTGAATGACAACTCTAATGATTGTACGGAACTCATACACAAACTGTGAATGGCATGCCCTAAGATATATAAACTTACAAATTCAGTTATATTACTATTTCCTATTGCCGCGTAGCGTAGTTAACCAGCAATATGTTATTAGTGCTTTATTTGTTCTGCACTTAGTTACTATATTATAATTTCATTAATCATTTATTATATTTTATATACTGTATTAATTATATTCAAATATTTTATGTCATATTTTATGTAAACATTTTGTGTGCCTTGAGGTAAATCTAATCAGTTTTCCTACTTACTTAATTTCCTAATAACTAAATTTTCTGCTCTCACTATCTGGACTGTCTTGGATCGACGGCCGCGACTGCAAGCCTTTTCAGATGGGGGGATAATCTGTAATGATATTTTTAAATCAATTGATTAAATTAAATTCTAATAATATTGCTTAATAATGTGTTGGCGATTCTCTACCTAAATTGCATCCCTGTTCCTAAATTTTGGCGAAATCCTTTCTTTAGTATAAAATATATTAACCTGTTGGCGCCCGCCAAATCGCCAAACTCATAAATATGTCATATTACATAAAGTCCTTAAGAACACTCCTGATGAGAAGATAGCGTCACCTCGTGATTTCAATTAATATCGCTGATTGGATGAGCCTCGTGACGCACACATATGTATAAATAGGGCTTCGGCTCATGGTACGAAAAGAACGCTTGTGAGATGGATGCTAAAATAAACCTACCACTTTAATTTATTATTTAATTTATATTCCAAAATTTGTCTCATTCCTGTTGCCCCGGCTGCACAAAACAAATAATGTATGAGAAATTACATTTCATATATATATATATTTTTTACAGTTTATCATTCAAGAGAAAAGTCTGCCTGATTCATACAAAAAATTGCAGTTTATGCCAAGTTTATTAGGTTTAATTCGGTCAGGTTTATACACTTTTTGGTTACTTAAAAATATCTACATATTTTTAAACAGATCTCAGAATAGCAATTCGGTTATTTATAGTTTTCATGAACAGGAATAACTTGCAGCACAATCTGAAGATATATTCCAATAATTTATGTATAATTTGAATGACTAGTAGCAGGCTAAAAAATATATCATTTAATTATGAATTCCTAAATTGAAATGCATATTTTACATGTAAGGCAACCTTAATAATTCTGTTGTGGGTTGTTTGCTTGATTGCTAGAGACTCTGAATCTATTTGTGTTCAACAGAATGATTCATGTGTTTGGACTAAGACTCCTCTAAAGCTTAGTAGAGGAGCCTTAGTTTGGACAAAACAGAAGCAGATGTTCAAGCAATATGTTACTGAAATTTTCAAATGTGAGAAAGATGATCTTAAATGAAAACGTACTGAGGAAACAAGAAAATATTAAATGTCTTACTGTGTAACCGTTTCTTGTTTTTACTTGAACAACACGAACATCTCCATTCTCCCCTGGATACAGCTTAATTATTATTCCTAGCTGCCAATCAATCCGTTTGATATTTTCATTCCCAACCAAAACTATTTCTCCTAATTTTATTTGTTCCTTCATTTTACCGGCTTTCTTAGAATTTTTAAGTTGCCCTAAGTATTTAGCTCTGAATCTTCTTTTTCTTTTTTTCTTTTTTTGTTTTGTTTTAGCTCTGATACTGCCAACGCTTATACAGCTTCTGTTTAATTTATGTGATCAAATTCAATCGTAGAACTTTTTACATTATCCCTTAAAAACAATTCTAATTTCTTCATTTTTAAATCTGTGAAATTTTTTAAAACTTTTATGCAGTACTATCATAGAGCCTTCTAAGTCACAAAAGAATTCAACTTCTTCGTCCACGCCAGACTCAATTGTGTTAGGATAGTTCAGTTAAGAATCGCGCGTTATAGTTTGTGTTGGTGTTTTTTTTTTTTGGTCTTTGAAATTAGGTATGTATAAGTTCCTGAGTTATTATAGTAAATAACATTAAAATAATTATTATGAAGCTTATAAAATAGTTAAATATACATTTATATATTAGTTTTCACGTGCTAAATGTAATGTGTTTGTTCTTTTTTTTTATGCACGTGTTTTATGTTGCCATTATGAAGAATTTAAAATTATTTTTGATTTATTCAGTTATAGAATTCCTTTGGATTGAAAGCGCAGTCTTGTTTTTCGGTATATTAGGTATGTTTTCTGTTAACTTTGTGAAATTTTTTTGTCATTCTCAATTTCGGATAATTACTTTCATCAAAGCTGGACATTCCAATAGCAATTTCGGTCTGCATTGAACTTTGGTTTTATTGAAAATATGCGTTTCTTGAATGAACCATTTTAATTTTCTTTTAATGCTGTTGAGTTTATTCATTACTGATTATTCAGTGGAGTTAATTAATTTCTAATTAAGGCTTGATTGGTGATTCCGAAGAATATTTTGGCGACTCTGTTGTTTGTTACAAAACCAGTATCACTTAAAATCTGCATCCACCTGTTAAATACCAATGTAATTACTATTGTTTTGTTTTATTGTAAATTAAAAAAGAACGGGGTGTGGTGAAAAATAGATAGCTTTTTAGCCTCAACCAAATTCTCTGCATGTCTCAATTTTTTTTTAAAACATAAATCAGTCTTAATTTTTTGTTCGTGGATCAATAGTTTATTCTATTTGACATTCTTTTAGGAAGTTTTCGCGCTGCCATTAAAAAAAAAAACCTTGGACAATTTCTATCTGGTTATTTTCTCCGCTAAGCGTACTTAATGAACTATTGAGGAAGTATGTAATCTAATCCGTATCTTTTTTTCAGTACATAAAAGAAATATTTAATTTTTATTTGACATTTCTGGAAAGCCAAGAGTTTTGCAAAATGATGTCTTGAATTGATTTGCAATGTTAGTGAGTTAATTCTTTGGTGCTTGATATACTTTGGAAGTTCGCCAAATTTTGTTAGCATGCTATGTTTAAGATTTTTTCACTTTAAATTTAATGTGCCATTTTGGTTTTAGTGTGGAAGGAGAACTGTAAAAGAGTTGTTTTGACTGTAATTATGAGTTTTGACTGTAATTATGAAGCTAATTAGCTAAATTTAATTATATAAAATTTTGAATATGGAAAATGATGGTGGGTGGATATTTAGAAACAAATATTTGTTGCTGGTGCTCACTTGTTCATGTATGTCTCAGTGAATGCAACAGAAAAAGTGCTTTGAATCAAGTATGTAAAATAAAAGGCAGATTCTTTTTTTTTTTTTTTTTTCAAAGGGAATTAAATGATACCTTACACACTTCTCAATCCCACACATGCTTTTATTTGCATTTACAACTCCCTTAACTTTGTAAACTGAAAAAATTGTTCAAATAGAATTTTAAGTTTTCTTGTACACTCGTATAGCGAGGATATTGTTTAAGGGTTATTGCTTTAGAAAACTAACACATTTCTTTTTCTATTCTATCAGAACCGATTTCAAAGTGGCTTAAGTAATTTTGCAAGATACACATATTTTGTTTTGGCTAGTTAATAGTATTTCCTGATTTCAGTTTAAAAGTTTCAACAGTACTCTTAATTAAAAAAGGAAAGTGATTAGGATCCCATTTATTTTTCTTTGAGCTCAATTATTTCAAATGATATACCTTGAGAATGCACTACCCCTATATATTTCCTTAAAAAGAAAAGAGGGCAAAGTGCAAAATCACCCACTGCTTGACGTGTTTTAAAGAATTTCACTAACTCTGTATCCGTGTGCACATCGACCTATTTTCACATAAAACATCCCAGAATTGCACAAAAATGGCATTGTGCACTGCCTTCACATTATCCATGTACACATCGACCTATTCTCACTTAAAAAGTCAAAGAAAATTGACAAAAATCCAACTCTTCTTACTCTTGTAAAAAGCGCCAAACAAAGAAGTAGGCAATTCTGCACTTTAGCCAGAAAAGAAACACAAGAACTAAAAATCTTTTTTAAATTATGAAATTACTTACTACTTTACAAAATTTAAATGCTTTAATTTTTAAGCTACTGCTTGTCATAAATATTCATTGCTTATTTCTTAAATTATACACTTATAATTTTTATTCTTATTCTTTTACAGATTACAATTGAACACCACTGTAACGAACTTCAAGTTACCGTAAGTTTGGTTTGTTATATCCGATATGTTAATAAAATGAAATTGTCATTTGAATAAAAATTATTAGCATAAAATATACGAATTCACTTTAACTTCAAACCAATAATTTGTAAAGAATATTCTCTCCTTTTAAATCCTTAAAAGAATGTAAAACCCTCATCTGAAGGATAGAAATCAGAATTTATAAAAAAAAAAAAAAAAAAAAAAATCATTGGCTCTAGTGTAGAATTGGGTGCCCCTTCGATTGGCAACAATTTTTTAAAAATTTTGGCGATGAAACATCACTTCTGGTTACCACGATAGTTTTAAATTTGTTTTAGCTCCCCGATTTTTATTTAAATGAAAATAGATGGATGTGTACATGAACATATTTAAGGCAGTGCACAATGCCTAGTTTGTGCAATTCTAGGATTTTTTTAAAGTAAAAACAGATCGATGTGTACATGGACACAGATCTTGTGCAATTCTTTGACTTCTTATTTTGGTATTGTGTAGCGGCCATCTTGAAATTGTGCCTTCCTGGTGCCGATCTTGGCGTAAAAAAGAGTCGCCAGTAAACAAGGGGCACCTAATTATAAACTTTTACCAAATCATTTCCTTAAATCAGAGGTACCAGGGTTCGTAGCAGTCCTTACATGTGCTTTAAAAGTCCTTATATTTGAAAATAAAATATAAAAGCCCTTATAGGTGCTTACTTTTTCTCTAAAGTACTTGTTTTTTATTTTTAGTACTTATTTTTTGCTTTTAGTGCTTTTTTTTTTAACGAATGCAAATTTTTTTCCCCGTACCAAAGCCGAAACTAAATAAAAACTTTTTCTTCCTTATATGGAACGTCAGATGGTAAATCATACTTCTAGAAATAGCTTTTCGCCCCTATCTCTGCATTAACATAACCTTTGGTGTATAGACAGGTGCATGTCGTTCTATTGGTCAGAATTATGAAAGCGGTAGAAAATTCTGGTATATTCCGTATTCGACTAATCGTTGGAATATGATAACAGGTAGTTTGGCGACATTTTGGTAAGGCTATAAAGGTTACTAGCTAGGACTTTAGCAATAATCTGAGAAGTACGCAGTTCGAATCACAGATTATTTTGTCTCAGAGAAATGAGAGATCATGAGACATGTAATTTGACATTTTCTTGACAATTCCAATCGGGATTTTAGCTAGTAAGCAGCTAGGAACAATTTCGCTGCTAAAGTGCAGAATCGCCCACTTGTTTGTTTGGCACTTTTTATAAGAGTTAGAAGAATTGGATTTTTGTCAATTTTCTTTGACTTTTTAAGTGAAAATAGTCGATGTGTACATGGATAAAGTCAATTGTGTGCGCAATGCCATTTTTGTGCAATTCTGGGATTTTTTTTTAAGTGAAAATAAGTTGACATGTACATGGATACAGTGTATATGCAATTCTTAAAAACGCAGCAAGAAGTGGGCAATTCTATACTTTCTCCCAATTTCGCACCAATCTTCGACATAATTAAGCGCTTTTGTTCCATAAAAGTTCTAGCATAAGCGTAATTCGGCGAGCAGATTGTTGAAAAAAATGTTGAGAGGGGGAAAAACTTTATTTCATTAAAACTAAATGGCGTCAAAAAAAAAAAAGCAGGTTACTGTAGCAGGGTTGGTCGCCAAAAAATCGCGATCATCAGAAGATTCAACCCGTATTCTTTTGCTCCTACCCAATACTACACGTTTGAATTTCTATTAAGATTTTAATAATTTACATTTTTGTTCCGCGTGGTCAGTTCATATTCGCATTTATTATGATCGGTATGCTTATATTATGAGCATACGTATGACTGTTTATAATAATATATTTGCAGTAACTGCTGAAGTAAACTTAAAAAATTCGTGTGTTTTGACACAGATTAGTTTTCTAAGGAATAATATTCGGAATGGCATAAATAAAGTGAAAGTAATCGAATAGTCAAAATAAATCCCCTCCCCTTTTTTTGGCCCATGCATTATACAGTACGGAAGTTGGGGGTTCTCCTCTTTCTCCGCAAAATCTCGAATATTGAAACTGTTACAGTTCTCCGCAAAGCAAGCAACTGACTTTTTTTTTTTTTTTTTTTTTGGTCACATACCAAGCTAGCTTGAATACGACTAAAAGTTGTTCTGTTGTCTACCAACCTAAGGGAAGAATGGAAATTTAACGCAGTCTGTTCAGAATTAGAATGAAAAACATCCCAGATTCATTAATCTTTATTAATTTGCGACGTGTTCTGCTCAATGATAAATATGCCACATGGCCATGAAAACCCCAGGAAGAAAAGATGCGTTTTCCTTTATTTAGTTATTTATTCTCATTTTTTTTTTTTTTTTTTTTTTTCTCATTGTAAACTAGTTCTGTAAATTGAAAATTATGGAATTAGCAGTATGATGACATACCATCACGAAATTTAATGCACATGTTTTTTCCTTATGTATGCTGCTAAATAAATATAAAATTCCTGAATTTATTTAAAAATATTATTAAATAGATTTCGTTTTTTTCGTTTAGCTGCAAAATGTCTGCAAAAAAAGACTTTTTTTAATCCACATTGGGCAGATTCTAAACTCAATCTTCAGTGGAGAAATCAACTCCTATTATAGTTATAATGGTATTGCTTTGGGGATTTATATATACAGTACAAAGTCTGAAATCCGGACTCTTCGGGACTTCGACAATTCTGGATTAGGGGTTTTTCCGGATTATAGATCATCAGTTTAAATCTGGTAAGATGGCATGCAGGAATTATACAATTAAAAATATGAAACCGTAATTTATGAAATAAGAGCAATTATGATCTAAAAGGTATCAAAATTTACAAAAAAAAAAAAAAAAGCAGCTTAATATCTATTTGTTTACTTTCTTTCAATGTAAGTTATTTAAGTTGCTTCGTTTTATGTGCTAATACTTTCTCTTTAATTCTATAAACAGACATAATTTCTTGTTCAGTTACAAAGTTTCACTGTTCAAGTCCTGTAATTGCCGTGTCGAGAATACAGACTAAATTGTCAATCGAAATTTTTTCGTTTTCAATAACCTCTCTGTCACTTTCTTCACTGTCGGAAGCACACGTGGATGTAAGTTTGTGCATGTGTAAGTTTGTGGCTTTGAGGTTCAGATTATAGATCATTCGGGATAATGGACGTCCAGATTATGGACTTTGTACTGTATTTATTTAAATAAAATATGTAATTGGTAAATTTTCGTGTTTCCGAGTAATACCATAGTTAATTTACAGCCAACGAGCATTATGCGGATAGACTGGAATTTTCTTAAAACACACCTGGAAAACCTGAAAAAGTCGGGGAATTTCATTCTCCTGTTTGAGTGGCAACCCTGTTAAAAGTACTTGGATTAAAAATGCTTTTTTTTCCTACTCAGGCTTTTCTCAATATAAAAGCATTAGAAATATACTACAAAATGAAATTAGCCAAAGAATATAAAATTTAATAATATATAATTAAGTTTTGATATTGTTCTATAAAAGTATTATAAATAGTTCAGTAACTTGAATTGTGCATTATAAAGTGAATTTATATCAGTTTGGAGTTTTTTAAAATGGTGTTGCTGAAATGGCAAAAATGTCGCAGAAACCCTTTGTTTATGTGTGAGAATGTTCCAATTTTTCATATTCCAAGGTTGGCAGTTGTGCTTTACCTGATTGGTGACAGCTTAAATCCTTTTTTGTAGGTGTGAATGAAGCTAATGATTCATGCATATGTTCTATGACAGTTATGACAGCTATACCATGGTTTGAACATTCCCTTATGTTTAGATATACTGTGTTAATTGTTGCGTTGATCTTTTGATATATTGCGCTGATTGAAAAAATGATGTTGAAAGGCATAGGGGTTAAATGAGAAATATTGTACAGAAGTTACTTATTTCCTTGACAGGTAAATAAAATTGTAACTTGTTAAATCTACAATCCCTACAACAAACACACAAACCACCTGTAGTGAATGGTTGCAAGAGCTGGTGTGCAGTTGGAGTGTCCCAACAAGCATAATAGCATTTATTTCCATGTGTGATTAGCTTCTATGCAGATAAGGTAGAAGTGACAAGGCTGTTAGGTAGGCAGTTAAATTGACTATTTTCTCAGATTAGTAAGGAGTGGTAAACTCTGGTTATGAAATTGAAGAACTACAGTAAGATGGTCATAGGTGGTAGTGAAGCCAGGGCTCTCTATATAAAATGGTTTTGTTATGGATCTTGGGATCCCCAAGGAGCTCTTTTTTCAAACTACTTTCTTATAATCAGATAAACTGTGCTATGTACTTTCATTAGTTGGAACCAAAGGCAACAAGAAGTCAATTAAAAATGTCCCAGATTTGTGAGGTTTTATTTCACTGTGAGGATATTGGAATCCCTGTTTCATTAAAGGTGTAAAGAATATCAGTAGCATCTCCTGTACTCGCAATGTTCTCTGAACCTCGCAACATACGAGTACTGCTTGTGCTGATCCTTTCTCTCTATGTAAGAAAAAGTTCTCTTGAGGAGGTAAGTTTTTTGACTTCTTTGGCAGTTGCCATCCTGTTTTCACCAATGCATCAATTTTGAAAGTTTCCAGAATTATGAAGAAAAGTGTAAGATGGAAACTAGATAGTAGAATAAAAAAGCAGGCTTTCAAAATTTGGAGAAATTTGTATTTGTTGTGACTTTGGTGTATGACATTTTGGACACGTATTTGTGTATCCAGTAGTAATGCATTTTAATAGTCTAAATTCATTTTAAAATGTTTTCAATTTTATGGTGTTTAGAATGTTCTGAAATCTGTTTTGACAGTAAGCAGTGCAGTGCCATTATTGTATGTCAAAGGCAGAAATAAACCAGAAAACCTAAAGCAGTTAATGAAAGTAGTATGGATGAAATCATGCCAAATATGGTTTTTGCAACAATTAATTGACTTACACATTTCATATTAAGAGAATGTGTCATTCAGCAACAACAATTGAATTGAGGCCGGTTTCCACTGCTGCATATGAACGCATTGCATCAATTGAAGATACGCCTACGGCATCCGTACCAGCCTTTCCACTGCCGTGTATACATAGACGGTCGCGGACACTTAGCTGACAGGACATTTAACCGACACGGACACTTAGTCGACAGGACATTTAGCCGACACGGACACTTAACCGACAGGTCATTTAGCCGACACAGAATTAGCCGTCAAGACATTTAGCTACGGGACTCTTAACTGTCAACACATTTAGTCCACAGGACACAAAGCCGACAGTAACGTTTAGCTGACACATACCCAATAATTATTCAAACTTACTATCAATTTCTCGACTTCTCTATAAGTTCAATATTTAAGTTATTTTTTCACTATCAGTAAAATTCATTTTTCGATTCTTAAAGATATCATATATACTTTAATTATTGTGTTAATTTAGCATTGTTTGATATGTATCCATGGACCTTATAAGAAATAGACCAACCCAAATGGGTTTTGTCCCTTGCCTTGGCGTATTGCTGGCTGTCACCTTGCCCACATACGGAGAAGTATGCAGCGCGTATAATTTTCAAGAAAAAGCTGGGGATAGCACCTCATTTCACAAATTAGAATTTTTAGCTATTTTTATTTTTGAAACTGAGATTAATTTTTAAAAATTTAGCATGTTTATCAAGCATAATTAATGTTCTAAATAATTCTAAAGCTGTTGCATGCTTTCAGGTCTGGATATTTTTTTAGGTTTTAATATGCTGTAAGGAAATTTGTATCTCCTTCTTTTAAAAAATTATATTTTAAACTTGAACTAATAGAAAAATTCAAACAAACAATTTTCTCTTACAATTCTTATGCTTTTTATTGGTATAAATAAGTAAAAAATACTAAAATTGAAAAAATGGATTTTTGAAAGTTTTTACTTAAAATTCTTATTTGTACTGCTTTTTTAAAATTATATCTGAATATTATAGCATAATATTCTATAAAGAAGTTTTATTTCAATAATATTTCATAATACATCATAGTGATAAACATTTTAATAATTTTTATGCATTTATTATGTTAAAAATTGTATTTAACTGTAATAATTAAATGTGCTAGTATTTTATAGTGATTATTTTTTTTAATTTATGTGTGTTCGTGTGTTCAATTATCATGTGTTCAAAACATAGTTTTTGCATGTGCAAAGACCACATTTTTGCAGACATTTTAGGCTTAAAGTTCGAAATGTAGACAAAAAAATTAGATAGTAATATGGCTGCGGGAAGTTTCTCGCCAGAAATGTTTGGCGACTTGAGGGCGCATATCAGAGTAGTATATCCATATATATATATATGTAATTGGCAAATTTTTGTGTTATCAAGTGGTACCATAATTAAATACACCACCTCTTAGCACAGCCAATGTACATTATGCAGATAGACTGGAATTTTCTTAAAACGCACCTGGAAAAGTCAGGGAATTTCATTTTCCTATTTCAGTGGTAACCCTGTTATATGCATCATCAAGTAAATGAATTCTTAAAACTAAATTTTTTGGTCCTATTTCAGTATGCTATCGTCTAAAAAATTCACCAGAGTTTGTTCAGCTTCTAGGACATTTCTTACAAAAAATATATTTATAAGTGGCGTTTCGATTGAAGTTAAACAGGGTGCTAAAAATACATTTCATGTGGTTACTTTCTTGTTGGTTACTTTTAGAGTTTTCTAAAATTTCTGGAAAATGCTTTAAAAGTGTCCTTTTTATTCTGTATTTAAAAAAAATGTAACTATGGTAAACATTTTTTTAACATAAATTTTATTTTTTAGTGAAATGTCTTGGAAATATAGGCAAAAGAATTCTATTCTTAGGTGCCAAATCGCAGAATATGTGTGTTATTGTTTTTAAGGTTAATATATAGATGCATGTTACTGTTATACTAGTAGCATAAATATAAGGGACAGACCACTGGAAAAATTTTAGATATCTAGATTCTTAAAAATAGCTGAACTTGAGATATTAGAGAAGAGAGTCAGCTGTAAAAATCTATTATTCTGAACTTCTTAAAAAGTATCCTAAAATTTTGCAAAAATTTTTTTTTTTTGTTTATGCTTTTTACCGTGAATATGTGTATAATAGCATAAGGTTTATTTTACTTATAATAATTTAAACAAATTTTTTCCAGGCGTAAGTATGAGTGATGAGGCAACTACTGGTAGAGCTCGTGGGCGAGCGCGTGGAAGAGCTCGAGGTTCGACAACTGATGCTCCTAGGAGACCAGGAATGCAAGAGCCCGAGAGACCAACTGCAGCTGTAAGTTTTACTACTCTGCATACATGAAGTAAAACTGTATGCCCTAAAAACTTCCTTTTGACACTTTTTTTGTTTGTGGTTAGTTAGTTTAAATTGTTCCAACTTATACTGTGTACTTCATCAGATCCGATTCTGTTCAACTTTAATGCCAATATAGAGAAATGTTAGTAATTTTTTATAAATGTTTCTTTTTATTAGTAGAAGATTGGTTATGTTTAAACAGAAAATAATTTTGATGCTTTCTAATTAATTAAACTCTTCTTTTCCACATTTGTTAAGAATTATTGTTCTTTATACTTTCTTGTCTGAAGTAAAAAGGAAGTACTGTAGTCTTGAAAAATTTCGGTTGTCATATTTAAAAAAAATATATCCATTTTGACCGCTATTGAATGAAATTTAACGCTGTGTTTGCATGACATCTGTACGTAACGACATAATAAAGGACTTTTTCCCCCAAACAAAATTATAAAACTGATCTAAAATGAATTCTGAAGAGAATTTTTCGTGACGTCTGTGAGTATGTACGTATGTTCGTAGCTCGCATAACTCAAAAATGAGTAGCCTCAGAACATTGAAATTTTGTATATAGGACTGCTATAACATTTAGATAAATACCTCTTGTTTTGGTTGCAATCAGCCGCACCAAAAGTATATAAATATATGTATATATATATCAGGGTTCATACGGTCCTTAAAAGTCCTTAAATTTTTTGGAATCGAATTTTGGGCCAAAATCAACAGAATGTCCATAATTTTAATCATCAGAAATATCTGTCTGTGTTTACGACTGCCATTTTGAGACAAGTGCCTGGGCCCAGCCACCACCCCAAGCTCTTATTGGACACGACTTGTGATGTCATGTAGTGGCGAAAAAAATTTTCCGCACAGCAAAAGTTTGAGCCTGAGGCCATTTTAGCGCTGAACAGCTTAAGTGATGGGTGATGATAGAATAATTTGCTATATTTGTGAAAAAGTTATAAAAATAAAAAGCAGCTTCAGAAACACATTGCTAATAAACATGGTATTAGAAAAATAGGTGCAATTCGATGTGCAGTCGATAACTGTTTAACAATATGTTTTATTATTAGATGAATATAGAAGTCATTTGGCAATAAACACTTTTCATATGATATAAAAGTTAAGAAACAAAACAATAATGCATAAAACATAACTCCAATTGACAAAGTCAAATAAACAATGTTATAAGTGCTTTAAAAATATCTTATCACTTTATCTAATTTTTACCATAAATGAAGAGAAATTAATGCCTAGAATTAGTAAAATTAATCTGACTATGAAGAATTTGGATTCCAAACAATCTGTTTAACAATTAATAAAAAGGAAGGTTATTAGTTAACAAAGAGTTCATTTTTATGAAGAAATAACTAGCTTTTACATTTATATCGCTTTTAAAAACACTTTAAAATAAACCGCTGGTTCATGAAAAACCACGGCAGACAAGATTATTCTACACAGTAAGATTAGTACTATTAGTTGACGTTACTGAAGAAGCAAATCTTTTAATGTCTCCTGCTGTATGAAACTATGCAATGTATTTCCTAAATATTAGTGTAGCGCTACAAATTGCACTGAATATAGATGCCAAGCCAAACGGTATTTACGCATCATAAAGTTTTATCGATTCCAATTGACATTTAACAAGTTAAATAAAAAGTGGCAACTGTTATGCTTGTTTGTTACTGTTACGTTTGTTTTAATTGCAAATGTTCTGTTACATTACACAAATTCACATTAACACAGGACTTAACCAAGGCCAAAGTAATATAAGTTCCCCTTGACATAACTCGCACAACAGATAATGGAATCTTTTCAGCCTCACATCATAAACGGCAATCAATAAGAACAGGGGTGGTGGCTGCGGCCAGGCGCTTGTCATTTTAAGTGTGAATTATCATTTTGGAGGAATATAATTGGTGATTCATAGACAAATATGGTTATCTTTTGAGTGGGTTGATGGGTTATAATTTGCTCCCATTGCTAATATAAATAATGGTGGAGTACTGGAGTTTCTAAGCAAGAAGTGAAACATAAGCATTTCGGAATTCTATTTTTTCTAATGAAGAGCTCTTTAAACAACTTTTCGCTTTAATTAAATGATTTTGAATTTGACGACTTATCAACATTTTAGCGATTTTAAGAAAGTTCAAGATCTGGGAATTCTTCAACAGATATTTTTAAAACTTTGGAACGTTGAAAAATTTCATTAAAATAATGGTAATATATTGAAATTATATTTAAAAAAACAACATTAAAATAAAACATTTTTATTTTTTTGCTGTCATAATATAGTTTCATTTTGTCAACTTATACAATATTTTGAGTTTGAAAAATAAACAAGGTATAATGTATAGAAAATATATGTATAAAGCGCAATTTACAAAACAGTGAATCTGAAAAATAAACAAGGTATAATGCTATAAAGCATAATTTATGAAACAGCTCTTAGCAAAAGCAAAATTAGCTATGTAATTTATTAAAAATGTTTTCTTTTGTTACAGTATTGGTAAGGATAATTTTTCTTTAGAATTTTAGACATTGCAGCTTGGAAAGTTTAAAAGAATTTGAAGGCAAGACTTAAAGATCCACGATTCTAGAAAATTCCAGATATATGTGGCAAAATAAAAAATATCTCCATGGTGTTAACACATACTGAATGTATTTTACAGAAAGTTTGTGATGTATTTCCTATTTTTTGGAGAATGTCTGGAAGAACAATGAAAACATAATATTTTAATGTTTTACATCTGATACTATAATCTTTTTCTTAACATGTTTATCCCTTTTTTGCATCACGCCCACTCTAGTAGCCAAAAGTTTAAATTTGTTTATTCTTCTGTAAATGCCTTAACAGATTCCATTCCTGTGTTTATTCATTCTATATTATTAGAACTTTCAACTGTCGATCATAGATGGCTATATAGCATCACTAAGTAAAGAATTGCTATTTCGAAAATGGCTGCTACTTCTGTTTCTAAGTTAGTACAATTTCTCAGAGTAAACATTATATAATATTGCTTACATTTTCTTATACTGCCATTTTTTTATTCATAATTAGTAATTTTAGACATTTTATTTTAAATGTCAGTTTGAGAAAATTGTGGAGTGGGTAGATAAAGATCTACCGAAAAGAGTGAATTGAAACCCAAATGTACTGCTTATCAAGCCAAAACACCACTGGAAATGTTTATATTTGTCAAGGAATTTCTAGAACATTTGACATTTGAATCCAATAGGTACAAGTTACAAAATTGTAGCAAAATGAATTCAATCACAATCGACGAAATGAAGGTATTTTGGGGGGGGATCTGTATGTACATGTCAGTTGTAGATTTATCATTTAGAAGATGGTAATGATCACTGCAAAGAAGGCAGGAAATGATTTCAAATGCAATGACCGTAAATCATTGGGAAGGGATTTGTATGCATGTACGTATATGCATGCTGTCCACTGTAGTGAACAAACTGTAGCAATTATTTAAAACGAAATTTGAGCAAAAAAAATTTTTATTATTATTACTGAGGTTATTTTAAGTAGAAAAATACAAACATTTTCATTTGACTTCTCTAGGTTATTTGTATGCAACAAAGGATTATCTTCCCTTTATTTTTTCTACTTTTCACTAAACACAAAGATTAAAAATGCTTGTAATCTTATAAGCATTTTTATAGACAGGAATTGTTATGCGTTATTCGAAACATAGAAGTTAAAAGATTCATCTAGTATGTCTTAATGCATCATACACCGAGCTGGCACTAGACGTTTTCCCTCCTGATGCAATCTCTGTGTGTCCTTTACGCTACCTAGTGCATTTCTAAATTCTGCTTCCAATGTCCGCTCTAAATTCTAAAAGTTTTGCCATTTCTAGATTTTGTTGCTTGGTGTGTCACTAAATTGTAAAAATTCTGCCACACCAGCTCTGTACCTGGTCCTTATCATATATCTTTCATATTCATATTTCTTCTGAATGTTAGTATTACTAAAGAAATAAAATTAGCCACTTTTTCTATACATTCTAAATACACTTTAAAAAAAAAAAAAAAATTATTTTAGAAGAGAAATCCTTAATTAAATCCAAAAATTCTAAAGTGGAAAGGAAACCTGTTGAAGAAAGAAACTGAATACATGAGGAAAATTATTCTTCAAAAATATGTACAATTATTATGTAAATTTACCTAGTTTTTGATTTCAGCCTTTACTATAATTTCCAGTTTCTATTTCCTCATATAATAGAGTTATCAAGCTAGCTTAAATTAAAATTAAATTGTATAATTCCAAGAAAGTGCTTTTACTATAAAAAAAAATCTTTAATGTTGAACACAAAAAACACGGCTATAAAACATATTTACAGAAAAACAGACAGTCGAAAAAAGTGACATCTTTTTTGAGACAGTTGACATCTTGGATTCCCCCCTATTATTTTTATTATTATTTTTGGATTTTTTAAACTAATTTTTTGTAAGCAATTTTAATGATGTATAATTTAAATACAAGTAGCCCTCCTATAACACGGTTTTGCTCTAACATTATAAGAAAATTGCAAAAGAAAATGAATGAGCTGCACATGAAGTTTTTCCACATTGAGCAAAGCACTAACATAGTCCACTTTGAAGATGGTGTCCGAGGTATAGACCAGCTTTGCAGTGTAAAAAACCCAAATGTCTGTCAAAAAGAGAAATTCTGACCGGATACGGGAATAATCATCATCCTACAACTTTCCCTGCCACTTGTCTGATGACCTTCGTGGCCAAGTCTGTTATCTGAAAATCAACAAAAGCGACACTAAGGTCCCAATCACATAATGTTTCGGCTATGCGGAACTCGGCGTCGAAAGAGACAATTCTCAGAACCCGCACGTTTCCGGGAAACCCATGCAGCTAGGTTACCATTTTCACTTACTACAAACAGTACTACAAAGACTTGAACGCCAAACAGTAATTGATTATCGCTCAGACTGGGATCACGTGATTCTTTTGAAGCA